AACACCCATGCAACGGACCATCTCTTCTGAAAGTTTATTAGGAGTCTCCGGAACATGATCAGTGGTGCTAGTCCCGAGATATTCTGCTAAGCTGATCTCGCCTGAATTAGCATTATGTTCTTCCTGGTTGGTGACAACATAGGACAAAAAAAATACAAAATTGCAAGATATTGTCATTCAGTTGCAAAAAAATGTGGTCAGAATCTTTTATTCAGAGGTTGAAATCTACTTGCCTCATGAAAAGACAAAGGTTGAGAATGGAATGAGTGAAGTGCTCTGGCTAGAGTTTCTTCTGAAGGTGAAATTCTAGCAGAACAAACCGCACGGAATGAAAGAGATGAATGGCTGCGGTGAACACCAGGACCAAGTAGCTTATGTTGACACTTGACTTCACAGTCTTCATTCATTGAGTTGGCAGTCCATTTCTGAGGCACCAATGTCCGACTAGATTGCACTCTTGAGTTTCCTCTCTTAAATGAGGTTTTAAGTTCTGCAGATTCACGAAGCAACTCTGATTGGGAACTCAAGATAGATGTCTGCTGGTCAAAAGCTTTGCGATAAAGTGACAACAGATACTGCTCCAGATGCATAACCTCCAACTCTAAAACAGCTATCTCCCTTATCAGTTCCTTTGTAGGCTGACACAAGAAGTAGGTTTAGCCATATCAGCAAGGAACATATCAAATACACGAGGATTTATTCACATAAAATTCAACTTAGGCACACAAGTATTAACAGAGAAGGAATGTCAATCTTTCTTAAGTTTATATTTAATAGTGATTCACTAGGTTATGGTCAAACCTAGACCAACACTAAACAAGTATGAAGAAGAGTCAACATGATGAACATGGAGTGTACCATGTAATGTGACAAGAAAAATTAATGTAGAGATTTCTGCCTCTGGGTCTGCATTAGAATAAGAAGCAAAGAACACAACGTTGTGCGATCTCATACAAAATGTTGAAATAAAACTATGGAAGTGCATTAATCAGCACCAACCCGATAAATTTCTAGAGCCTTAAGCAGCATTCACCCAAAAAAGTTCTTACATTATCGTTCAACAGCAAAGAAAGATCATAATGTCAACAAAAGTAACAATAAGTGCAAGACAAAGAAAATGACAGAACAAAACAGCAGCGACAGGGCGACAGAGAAATCGATACCATTATTGTCAAAGTTTCATTTGAAGAACAAACTGTAGAAGAGCTATGTCCCAATGCTTTTTCTAGAGAGCATCGTGTAATCAGTTGATCCTGTAGCCGTGCTTCAAGTTGCAGAATCTGCAGCATATTAACACAAGTAGGATTACTTACTCAAACACTTATCTGGATATTATTTGACCCTTCTACCATAATTTTTGAAGAAAACTGCTGTCATACCATGGAACTGATCGTAAATTAAATTTTCAGGATCCTTATAGTACTTCAGATGTCCTAAATTCTTATATGATTCCCATGTTTAGATAAGAACCAAGCAAGAAAATTGGATATTGATGGATATTCCTGCTATTTTTTCAGGTTACATACATCTACACATAGGACATCCCTGCTATCAAGAATAAGATCGTACTATAAGGGTCAATTGGATATTGATGGGCGAACAAACTTATGTGTTGGTATTTGCAATTCCGCCTAATTTTCATTGTTCAATTTATTTTTGTGATTAACCCTCTGAAGCATCTGAAGGAAGCACAGACATGATAGCTTTTGTTATGAGTAAACGACACAAATACTAATTAAGTATCCTCTTTTGTGCAGTAAAGGTCAGAAAAAGGTCATCAAGAAATAAACCAACAGAAATCTAAAATTAGATAGAGAACAAATGCCTGTATGTAGCTTAACATCTGATGCTAGTTGTTCAGATTTCATCAGATTGTTAGAGTAAATTCATACAATTTCCTTCTTTTCTTTTCTCTTTCATTTGTACCAGGTTTCAGTAGCCAAAAGTAAATGAAACCATAACTTGTGTGCCAGCTTATATAAAAGCTATCGAGCTACTTGATCAGTAAAACTCAACTTGCCCGCATTTGTAATAATGGAACAGTACCTCTTGCTTTAACGAGCTTTGGACCTTAGCTCCAAGCGATGGCTTATCCTCGATCTTATTGTCACCGATGGAATTTCCCATAACCTTGAACACAGAGGAAACCAGATGAGTGCTTGCTTTAAGTTCAATAAAACTCATCTTAAATCTTCTATTAGCATTCAGCTGGTCTGCACAAGTCTAACTTAAGCTTCATCAGTTCGCTTGAGAAAGAAAGGGGTCATGAGAAGACATCAAACTTTCAACATAAAGGCTAAGATAGGTAGAGCACAAAACTACTAGAAACAGGAGAAATCCATGAAAGGTCAAAGTGTCCCTGTAATTTAAGAACTACATAATCGCTATGAGATCCTGGAAACTGAGAGGAGTAGATAAGACAAGATGAGCTTTACCGGCTTGTCATGATGACCTGATCTAAGCGAAGAGTCATTGTTTCCCTTCTCCATATCACTGACATCAAAGAGCAGCAGCAATAAGCAATGATGGATCCAGAAATTAGTGCCAAATTTCTTGTTCAAAACGCTGGTTGTATCTCTACCTACTTCTACATTTCCCCAGATCTAATATAACTTCAACTTTCCCAATGATCTATATATACAAGAGTAGTTTTGGAATGATTAGCTACCTCTTGGAATGTTTGTGTCTGGAGGATGTCTTGTTGGACTGCATCTTCTCCAACAAATGGTTTTGGCATTTCACATACTGCATATGGATGCCATGCTCTCCCTCAAATTCCATGAGCATAGATTGTTAGAAACAGCTGAAACATGAGTAGGACTTTTTTATCACTGGGGTTATACAAAGAGAGGTTTGATCTCACAAGACAATTGGAGTGATTGTAAAGAAGCAAAGGGCTTAAATAACAATTAAGTGTTCAGAGAAAGAAACTACTCACCTCAAGCCAGAGAGACCAATGGGTCTTCAGAATCTCCAGCTCCTACCAAGCATCACAGTTTCTCCACCATGCAACACAATCCAAACAATAAAACAACCAAATAGGAAGGTTTAAGCCCAAGACAGGAAGAGTCCAAGTGCCCATGAGTTTATCAAGGACCCCAGGGACATTGACATATGAGACACTCTAGAATTGCTCACTCTTTTTGGTGTCCTTTCTGAGGCCTAAGATAATAAATGGTGGACCTTTTCTTGAAAGTCATACAAGCACAATAAATGTCAAAGTTCATCCCACATTTTTCTTTGCTGAATCCTGACACAACAACTGTTGGTGGCCATCCAAAGATTATCATACTATTTCTCATAAACTCATCTATTGACCTATTATTCTAATCATATTGATTGGTTCATTATATTCTTCACAAATGAGCCAGAGGTTCTTTACATATCATCCTGTGAATGATATTTGCTTGACCAGAAATTAGAGCACTTAGCATGTCTCAAGATACAACTCAAAATTTGTGCATTAATTGAATATGAAGATAAACTAAATCCTCTTTGGCATGAGCTGACAGCCAGTGCCACAAAGGTCTACTTGATACAAGTGGATTAGACCCAAGACAGACATAGCCTTTAGCAAGGTTTCTCAGCAAAAATAAAGACGAGTATTTTGACCAGTGAATGTAAAGAGCAATTTAAAGGTGAGAAACTAAAGGTAAGCAAGCCTCAAAAGGGACGAAAGTGAGGGATAAAGTGGCACTGGTTACCTCAAACGAGACTGGTTCTATTAGGGTTTTCTTCTTGTTGTGGACCAGTTATCTCAAAAGAAGCTTAAGATACCAAGGTTGTCTTCTGTGCCAGACAGCTTAATGGTTGTCAAAGAATCAGCTTTTTGCTGCAAATGGTGTGGGATAGGTCTTGGCTTTTACTGGCACCAATTCAAGAGGCAGTGTGTGGGGGCAAGGTGGTCAGCACCCACACCCACCTTTTTCCTCTTAGTAGTGGGGAAAAGCTTCACCTTTTCATGAGTCCCATGGGAGTGGGCAAGAAGAGAAAGAAGCCAAGACCCTCACCTTTTCTATGCAAGCCAGAGTAGACCCCAAGAATAGAAGAGAGAGATTTGCTCTCCTGCTTATTTTATGTTGGTTTGGATTGTTGCTGTTGTTGTAACAGATTAACACAAACACGCATTGAAAGTTTAGATGGGTTGCTTGTTCTATAATCACTAGTTGAATCTGGATTAACATAGAACATGTTTCAATCCGTAATTCCTACAGTACACATTGAGATGAACAATGTGATTCGTGGAGACAATTACAAGGTTGGGAGTAATCCAACTACGAAGGCGTTGAAGTTTGATGTAATGATGCAGCCAATAGAACTTCTTTAGCACCAAAACCACATGCACGAGCAACAAATCTTTCTAGCTAAAAGCTTTTAAGATTGAGATCCGAAGGGATGCTCGTGCATCAAAGTCTTGCATGGGATTCTGTAGCTTTTGGTCTCTTTATTGGATCATCTTGTCCAAGAAAAAGAAAGGAAGATTAGGGAGGAATTAGACATGCTGGTAGAAAAATGCGTTGACCAGCAACAAAAGCGTATCTTTGGGTCGCTGCTACCGAGAGAAAGGGAGAGAAGGCAGAAAGAAAAGTGAGAGTAGAGTGATTGATGTCGCGTCTCCCGAGTGTGCAAGAAGGGCACTTGCAGAGAGAAAGCGGAAGACTCGCGGCCAAAGCATCGTAAATCTGGCGACAGCCTCGATCTGACCACCATCGAATCCAAGAACAGAGTAGGTTTTGTAAAGATGTTGGTAGGCACTAAATGGTTGGATTTTTGTGAAGGAGATGCGACGAAGGCGAGGTTTCCAAGACGTCTTAGACAAGCAATTGAATGCTGGATGAGCTTTTAGGTAGAGAGCAGGCACACTCACGAGAGTCGACGGATCAGAGGGCCTATGGCCCCTCCCTGCATCAGCGCAGAGCAGGTACACTCGCAAAGCCGGAGCCCAGTCCATGGGCCTTTGGTCCAAAGTAGAGGCCTTCCCGCAAGGCGGAAAGCTTGCTCGAGAGCTACTAGGGTTTTGAGTTAGGACCCGAATTAGGCTTTCGGGTTGGAGATGGCGCTGACCAACTTCATCGTGACGGTGGTGGGCGTAGGCGCCGCCATCATCCTCTTCCGGGGCGACGTCAAGCAGTCCGCCACCGTCTTCCGCCGCAACCTCCGCCACATCCGCCACTGGCTCGAAGAAGAATCCGGCTCCGCTTCCAAGTACGCACTCCAAGAAAAAAAGCTTCGTTCTTTCTCGATTTCCACCGAAACAACATTTGAATTTGATGCACATAATAATTATTGCAATCAATTGGTTCAAAGACCGCACCTTTATCTCTATGTTGCGCCTTCTTTGTGCTTAGAATCTGCAATATATGGAGTTGGTTTTATGTTATAGCCTAATAATCGATGGATTTTTTGTGCTGCTATTTAAGTTTACTGATATCTTTGAGCAGCAACTACTTGTGATATTGATCGAATACGCGTATTGCGTGACCTAAGTTTAATTTAGATAGACATGAGATAGATTCTATGGCAAAATTGCCCCACTGATGGAAGATACTTTGGGATGTCGGCGCAAAACATTTGATAAGATCCTTATCTTGTTTCCTAGATCGTCAACAAGTCCAGTGAAGCTAATTGGAGCTAAAAGAATCATTACTCCATGTTATCTGCCATTGTTCATGCTTTATGAATGAGTGATATTTCGAATTGCTAGGTGAAGATGGAAAACCACTCAACAAAAAGCTATCGTAGACATGAGATAGATTCTATGGCAAAATTGCACAACTGATGGAAGACGATTTGGGATGTTGGCACAAAATCTAGTGAAGTTAATTGGAGTAGTGTCATTACTCCATGTTATCTGCCATTGTTCATGCTTTACAAATGATTGATATTTTGAAGTGCTAGTTGAAGATGGAAAACTACACAACAAAAATGGATACAAATTTCCCCCCCCTTTTTTTTTGCCTTAGTACAACTCAATTGAAGAATGTCGTTCCATTGTAATGCAAATAGGAAGTAGAATAGTTTACAGCCACCTTTGTGTCTTCCAAACATTTAAACTGACTGATACTTGTCGCGGAACATTATTCACACCTTGTCAGGTTTAACATAGTTTGTAGTTTCTAATTTTTTTTAAGGTTAAAGGGAATGGTGCTGGTATTGACAATGTACCTTTGTCCTGGGTATTTGTTCTCAAATATGCACCGTATATTTAAAAGCCTATTATCTACAAGTTTTTGGAATGGGAATGTACGGGATTTGGACATAAGGGGTTAAGGTTTTTTGTCTAAATGTCCGAAAATGTATAAACCAGGTAAGGAGTACTCAGCTGGCCAATTCTCTGTAATTTGCAGAAGTCACTTTGCCAAGTGAGTTTATGCATATCCGATCTATACCTTGTCCTACCAACTATTTGCACAGGACCTGGGTGGATTCTGCATTAATTTGACAGTAATAGGGTTTTTAATTTCGTACCATATCGGGCGGTACGTACCGGTCCGTTAGCAGATCGGCATGTGGACTACCTGCTACCAAGCGGTTTCTAGTTTTTGGCCTCATATCGGGCGATACGGGGCTGTACATCGACCTATATCGAGTGTTACATAGCAGTTGCCGTCCAGCCAAGCGAACCCGCCGCTCCCCTTCGACACGACATTCTCCCAGTGGCCGTCGTAGCAGTTGCCATTAGCCCATATGAGCGCCCCATGGCCGGATATTACGTCGTTCCGCCACTCGGTATCGTACTGGTTCTTGCTCTGCCACATGTACCATTCGTATCCCTCCTGTAGGTTGCGCCACTAGCCGCCCTCGTGATATTTGCGTGTCTACATAAATTTGAAGCGCGACATTTTGCTTCACTATTGCAGGCGAAAAATCCTTGCATCTGTGATGACACGATTAGCTGCAACCTTGTTGGAGGGTTAGTTTCAGTAAATATCTTCTGAAGATTCTGAGACACACAAGGTCTAGAAAACTAAGCATCGTAGAACGTCCTTTTCATGTTTGCTATGCATGTCTGCTCTACAATTCAAGACCTATTCTGCTCTAAAATCTGTTGGTATCGCCCTGGCGGCCTTTTCATGTTTGCTATGCATGTCTGCTCTACAATTCAAGACTTTTTCTGCTGTAAAATCTGTTGGCATTGCCCCGGAATAATGTGTTGCTTACTGTCGGTATCAGTTTTCATGGCTAAATCTGTTGAATTTCTTATTTGTTTTGTAGATCTGTGGAGCGAAAGGCACCGAAAGAGTTGGACTCTCAGGTTCTAAAGAAGGACATTCCCAAGGACGAGAAGCTCTAGAATATTTTGTCGATTTTCCAGTTATTTAGGACGGGCACAAGTGTATATGTGTACATGTTTGTGTGTGTTAGAAATTTCGAATAAATTCAGATTGTCATACCAACATTGAATTGTTTTTTCTTCTGTTGTAATTCTCAAAAACCAGCTTGGCTCCATCCAACATATCCATCACTTTGTTCTTAAAGGCTATGAACGTGATCACATCACATTGGAGCCAAAAATGTAAAGATGATTGACTATTTTTCCTTCCTTTTCCTCATCAATTGTAGTAAGATGTTTCCATGATGTATCTACTGTTCAAACTTTAATGAATCTCTCTCTCTCTCTCTCTCTCTCTCTCTCTCTCTAATCATATATTAGATTTTTTGATAACATGAATAGTTAATTTCAGAGTCAATATTTTGTTAATGTGTATAGTTAACTTGCCTGTGGTATGAATCTTTGTTAGTTTAACCTATAGGCTTGACAATGTTTCTGTAAATTCTGCATCACAGAGAAAGGAGAGAGATCATTGGAGTAGACAGCTCTGCAATAAGATTTGTTGACGATGAATCGATCAAGCAATGCATTAATTTAGATCAGTTGCCAGCTTAATACAATCATAATCTTATTTATTACTTCCCATGCGTAAGGGGAGTGTCATTTCTACAAACACTTGGCGATTCCGTCAAACGAACAACCTTGCCTTCCTCTTGGCACCGGGATCGTGGCTCCGGCTCCTCGGCAGCAACAAGTCCGCCCCCACCGCCACCTCCCCAAAGTCGCAGGGCTTGTCCTCGTCGATCCTCCCGACCGCCACGCTCTGGCTCCGTGGCACTGCCGGCGGTGGTAGCGTCCCGAGGCTCCGCGACGCCGCGCGCATGAGCTCCCTCAGATCCTCGTCGCCGGCCGACTGCAGGCCATAGCTCCTCGGCAGATCCTCGAAGTGCGGGCACCCGAGCGGCGGCCCGTACTCCATGCGCCCGGCGCAGCTGTTCATGCTGCGTACGTATAGGTCGCGGGCGCGGCATAGCGCTCGGACCGGCGCCTTCATGCACCGGCCGAACCGCCTGGACGTGCCACCTCGCTTGCTCATCACGATGATTCAATGTAGACAAGAAGAGAGCGAGTTGTCATATATATATATATATATATATATAGAGAGAGAGAGAGAGAGAGAGAGAGAGAGATTAAAGGAATAGGATAAGAATAATAATCGAGAGTTAGTTGACTCTGAGTGGTTGATGAGAGGGTTGAATTCCAACTAAGGGCAAAAAGCTCTGTTCATTACAATTATGTATCCAACGGAGTTGGGACGGATCTCAAAGGCGTCCATCAAGTGCTTCACGAATCACGAACACGATGGCCAAAATCCATGTACCGCTGCTCATCGGGAACACGGATCGCATTCCTATCCTCATTTTGACGAAGCAATCAAAGTCAATGGAAGACATTAACAAGTAATGGCAATGCTTACCAGCTAAGAACACTGGCCATATTATATTATCCCAATAAACCTAATACAACAATAAAGATTACTCATAATAAAAGCCCTCTTTATTCATCCATCTCGTAAATATTTATATATATATATATAACTAGAAATACGTAATAATACAAAGTATAACGAAGGACACCTACTCATACATACGGACTACCGTAGAGAGGGCACAGGACACGTTAAGGGGAGGCGCGGCACTCAGCAGTAGGCGACGCACCGCTTCTTGCAGTCGATGGTGCACCCACCGCCGCCGCCGCCGGCACCGTAGCCCTTGCCAGAGTGGCTGAAGGAGGAGAAGCACTTGGCCGGGCAGGTTAGCCGCTTCTTGTAGCAGGGCCCTTTCTCGGAGCACACGACCGAGGGCCGCACCACGCCGCCGCGCGAGTACCCGCCCGTGGGGCCGCCGTATCCAGCGCCCCACCCGCCGCCGAAGCCGGGCATGTTGAACCCGCTGCCCGGGCCGAAGTACCCACCCGGGTCGGCCCCGAACCCCGGGATGCCGGATCCACCGCCGCCTCCGCCCTGGCCCTTCCCCTTGCCCTTGGCCAGCTCCGCTTCCAGGTCGCGTGCAGCCGTAGACGTGGAGGCTGCTGCGAGGAGGAGGAGAAATACTAAAACGTGGCCAGTCCTCTCCATGATCTGCTCGCTGCTTTTTCTTCTCTCTCTCTCTCTCTCTCTCTCAGTTCTGTTTTTAGCCAGTGAGTTTGGAAGGAGGAGGAGGGTGTCCACCGTCCTACCACATCAGGAAGAAAGCGATCGTTTATAGTGGAAGGAGAGAGAGAGAGAGAAATAAAAGCAGATTGTTGAGGAGGTGGTGGGCAGGCAATGCAATAAAGACTGTGGCGCTCAACGCGTGTTCGGAGGAAGACAGCTCAACCTTTTAGATTCACAACCTCAAGACATCGATCAAAGACCGTCCATTCCGTCTCCATGACCCAAGAAACAAGACCTGTTAGTCAAAAACTGTAGTCTGCACTCTTCCTGACGTGACCTAAATCCACGTTCATCATCAATTAATTTCGTGCTATCTCAGTCATGGTGTCTCCTCCTGTGTGATTTGACCCCCCTCTGGAAAGTAGCTTTACTCATCGTCAAAGGGGGAGAATATGCCGCCAATTTGTCCTCCACTCTGCAACTGCTCACTCCATTCGCACACTCGTTGTGAGTTGCAACTGAGGATCCACAGCCCTGCCATCAAACCTCTTTCCCACGTATCCTTTCAATCCTTTCTTTAAGAGTTCCAGTAGGAGGTAACACAGTAAGTACCCTTCCTCAACTCATTCCAGGCTGCCGCATCCCGTTGTACTCCACTCCCACATCCCCACCGTCACGCCACAGGGACCTCCATCGACATAAAGGAGTCCACACTCTTCATCTTCGTTCTCATAAATGCACACCTTTTCCTATCCATCCAGTTTCAGATTTCTGATCTATCTTCTTCAGAAGAGATTCATGCATCCGTCCCAACTCCTACCAGCATAAATATTGCAACCTTTGCTATCCAAGCATCATTACCTCTACTTGAATGTGTATTGATTATCCATCCCGATCAAGAGTAGCATCTGTCTTCCTCAGGAAAGATTTGTGTGTCTGGCCTTACTCCCTGCAGCACAAATATTACAAAATTTCTTTTTTGGATCAGATTGCCATTCATGCATCATTTGCTTTATTTTATTTTTCCTGTTGGATTTCTTGATAGTTGAATTTGTATTATATTATACATTGGCCAATATCAGCAGAAAATATGCCTTGTATGCATGAAAGTTCCACCAGGTAGTTCAGTGATATATGTATTACATGTGGGTGGCTGAAGAGGGAGGAGAGGATAGAGTGATCTACTTATTATTTTCACTATCAATATGATTAATTTAAAGCCCATGTAATTCATGATAAATCAAAAACAGCAAAATTTGAATCCAGATTCATTTACTCAAAATCATGTAAAGTTCTTGCTGGCCTGTGTAAATCTTCTAAGTGACATCCAATAATAGAAATCTGATCACTATTGCTGAGCAAACAGGGCCTCAAGAGCAGCCCAAACACAGGCTGTTCAGGGATCATCATGGAGAGGAGTCTCAACTCTATGCAACATCTGGGTTCATATGCATCATTAAGCAGCACATATGAGCAGCTGACATGAGCCCCCCACTGGCTGCCCAGTGAGGAAGATGGCTTCATGAGGTTGCAGACTCCAAAGGTCTGAGATGTCAAGAACTATATTATTGCAAGAGATCAAGTAATCAATTGCATGGATAAAGAAGTGATAAGTTAAAGAAGCAGATGGGGAACTGTGCAACTTGTGATTTTTTCTGGATATGCTCCTTCCTACTTGTGTCCCTGCTCCATTAATGAAGCAGTGTTTTGTGCTGTTTGAGTGTGAGCATCCTTAAGTATGACATTCCTCAGTAGTTGCTATGGTACTTTGGATTTGAATGGCATGTATTACATAGATTCTTGTATATCCTATAGTTTTGGGCTTACTGATGGTAAATTTTGATAAATTGGATTTAATATTAATAATGTCTATTTTGAACACTCAGGACAGTTAATATTTATTCCTTTTAATATCCAAAAAATTAAAAGGTATGTGAATAGGCATGTGGTACACAAAATCCATGAAAAAGAAATCCATAGGGAGGTTGAATTGCATGTTGTTTGATTTATGTGTGAGTGGGGATAACAAAGACAAGAATCTTGAATATAATTTGTTAAAGGTCTCAATAATGCATATGAAAAGAATCTTTAGTAGACACTGTACTTCACTGTGAATAATCATCTTTTGTTGGATATGATTGATCTTCTAACTTTATAGATATTGATTTGGAAGAGATTGTATAGATAGTCGTAGAATATCCTCCTGATTTGTTTCATAATCTGATCTCTCTCTCTCTCTCTCTCTCTCTCTCTCTCTCTCTCTTTCTCTCATGCAAGTTGTAAATAATTAGCCGCAGATTTCAGTATCATTGGACACAGCTTCAAGTAGTGAGAAGAAATTAGGTATTACTCCTTTACATGCTCATCACCAGATGGCCGTCAAATGCCTCGTCTCCACCTTGATTCACATTGTCCTCTGATGACATTCTTCACAAGCTTTCCAGTTTCCAACAAGAAACTTGAATGTGACAGTTCACCAACCTTTGTTTTCAGCTGATACATATATTTTGGTGAGAGAAAGAACCAATTATTCTCACTCATTTTTTTCCTAAATGCTATCTTCGGCAACTCCAAGCATGCCGATAGCTTTATGCTTCATACATCAAGCAAGCATTCAGCTGAAAAGATAGTCGAACACGTACCGACTGCACCGATCAATATTGTACAGTGTACGCATTAAAGACGGTGGAAATACCGATCCATCGTGCTCGCACTTTGCATTCTTCTTTCCTGTCTCCTTCCTCTACTCCTCCAGCATTAGCTTCTCTTATTCATCTTCATCACTGCTAGGCTATGGTTGGCCTACCTACTAGCAGCTGAGACTTAAAGAGGACAAAAGAAGCTGCTGAAAGCAAGATCTTCCTAACCCATTGAAATCTGATGTCCAAAGGTTTAACACACAATAAAATGTCTTAACGCAAATGGATTCAGTCTGCTTCGCATGCATCTTTCACATCGATCTCGTGCCATCGTGGAATCTTTCTGTGTGTCATATGATGTTCTTTTGTAACCCCTATTAATATTATATCATTCATCAGAAGACCACCTTGCTCAAGTATCATCTATCTGCCTTTTTTCTCTGAGTAAATTCAACTTTAGACGTGTCATGAAAGGGATAGGAAGAACAGGAAAGAGATTTTTACTTGCAAATATATAACATGTAATTTTTGTTTTTCTTTAAGAACATATAAATATCAATTATACTTGCAAAATTACAATGCTCGGAAGATGTGGTATTTATCGAGTTAGCAAGCAATAGCAACGCGACACACGACCGGCGGCGCCATGCGTACATCTGAGCCCTTCTTGCAACCGGACGCGAATCTTGACGCGCATGGTCCGCGAGATCCACCGTCGACGCGGCTCGTTGGTGCACCCTGACTCGAAGTCGCACGCCCGCTACCTGCACTCAACCACCGACGATCACGATCCATCTGCCGAGCCCGTGGGGCCCGCCACCCGACCGCCCTCATCCGCCGTTAAATACCTCCCCACGCCTCCTCCGCCCTTCCCTTTTCTCCTCCCTCGTTATCAGCCCTCGATCTTTACGGAAATCACGATGCTGTCCCTCCTCGACCACGGCTTCGCGCCCGACGACTTCGGGCCGTCGTGGGCCAACAAGCCGGCGGAGGTGCCCGAACCGGACAACCGCACGGCCGTCTCCCCGGAGGAGCGGCGACGGCTCCACCGCATGATCTCCAACCGCGAGTCCGCACGCCGCTGCCGCATGCGAAGGCAGCGCCACCTCGAGGAGCTCCGCGCCAGGGCGAGCACGCTCCGGTCCGAGAACCGCGACCTCGCGGACCGGCTCGTCGGCCTCGCCCACCGCCGCCTCCTCGTCCGCCTGGACAACCACCGCCTCCTCGCCGAGGCCTCCGTCCTCTCCCGGCGTCTCGCCGACCTCCGCCACTACCACTACTACTACCACCACGAACTGGTTTCTCACAGCGCCGCGTATTTTCTTGGGTCGAATTAAAGAAAGCTTGAAGGTCTCATCAAGACAAGTTTAGGTGAATCCGTCGAGCCACTTCTCTAAATCACCAACAAGTAGTCACATCACATTTAGGGGACGTGATATCATGTTGTGTAGTGTGTTCTTTGCCCCGAGATCGATGAACGATTGATCGGAGCTCCTGATTGCTGAGGTTGCATTCGAGGATTACGTCAACCATCAGTCAATATTTAATGGAATACGATCGCGCATCGCAATTGCCACGTCGAAAGATGAGAAGCGTGCCAACTTTACATGCCGTGATTCATTGCATGTCCGTCTCCGTTGGACGTGAAAGCTACGTTCACTTTCGACGGCACAAGAACACGTCAAGCTTTGATGATGGTGTAGTTAAAGTTAGCTCACGGTAAGACCGACGGTGTTTGCATGCTCAGTTCCTCTCCATTAACACTTAATCGTGCAATTAATGATATAAATTAGCTAAACGTGTTCCAAAACTTGCTTAATCCGACTCAGTTTGTCGTAATCGATCGGTTGCATCTGGCTCACACTCGGTCTTGGTAGTTCATCGACTCATGTTCGGCTTATCTATCATTTGTGTCTTGATCAAGCTCCATCTTGATGGTTTCATCAATCCGTACATTTTTATTTTATTTATATATTAAAAATAATAATCAATCACATGAATTATAGGATTTATGCAAATCAAGGTATCACGAGATAGATCTCAATTTTTTTTTATAAAACAAGATTAATATCGTTGGTGAACTTTTACGTCATGATCGAGGTGTCAGCACGATTCGATCAATGCGCAAGGTTGCCCATGCGGATGCTCGGGTGGTGGAACCGAGCGTTAGGTCGGGTTCGAGCCTCGCCTCCCGAGTGTAATTTTCTCTCTTGACGAGTGACTTGCTTCTTTATTACTTTGCTCTTGCACATAGGACGAGGTCGGGAGGAGGATTTTCGGACTCGATCCCTCCGAATGTTAAGTTAGAGTTGAGTGGAATAAGAGAGAGTTTATTATTCAAAGTATCTTGCATTGGTCAGGGGTTGGCTTTTATACCTGTAAACGGATGGGCGGTTTTACATTGTCTTTTAATGAATATCAACTCATTGGGAGGATGGTTTGTACCTTGCAGACGAGCGTCGACCGACTCGTTCGGGTTGGCACCGTGTGGAGCCATCCCGAGTTTTTACGGAACGACTCCATGGTATTTAGCGTCGACTTGTACAGCATCGAGTAGGATGGCTCGTATCTTGTGCACAAATGATGACCGACCCATATGGGTCAGTGCTATGCGGCGTCATCTCGAGTGTTCCGGAATGGCTCCGTGGTGTTCGATATTGACTTGCACGACGTCAAATAATGCGGAGGTCGTGTGATCGCTTTGTTTGGGTTCGAGGTATCGCATCGTGTCAGCTAGGAGGTCTCTTATTGACCCTATCATGATCCTTATTTGCTACGATATGGATGGTACTGAAATGTGCCATGTCAAACACCACCAAAATAATATGTGAAAGTAAAAAAAAAAAAAAGTAGTTTCTCTGGATGCAATTGCTTCCTGATAGTAAATGCTGGCACTATGACAAGAAGCGTGACCGTCTACATCTGCTTTTTTTTTCTAATAATTCATTAATCAAGAATGTGTTTACAGCAATGCCAGAGAGAGATCGAAGGTTACAGAATCTCAAGATGATCTTCGCAATCAGGTTCAGGGCTTATCACGGATGATACAAGTCAGAAGTTGCTCGAGATGTGTCAGAGGAAAGGTTTCACCTTTGTAAAGCTTTTTCATCCTCAGCAAGTCTGGAACACAAAGCAAAAGAAGACTGTACATTTTAGCATTGAGAACCAGCAGGATACGGGATCTGAAGGAGATCTGCTTCTGTTCTTCGGCAACACCAACAAGATGGCTCACTGCTTTTTATCCTTTCTTGTTGGTCCTATTTTCCCACAACTCTTCCTCCTTTTTCTTTCCCCAAGTCCACTGTCATACATAATCCATGGCAACAGCAAAGATGTTCTTTCATCTTCTGATCACTGCTGCAGGGAATGCATGGAGATGTACACGCATGGTTATGATAAGAACTTGGATGTGAAAGATGCTGCCATGACTTTTTTTTTCCTGGTCAACAGATCCAAATTAATGATTCTTGTGTATGTGGTAACCAAGAAAGATCCACATGTTTAGTCCTTGCTTCCCGTAGATTAGCCATTGAATGCTGTGATCAAGAAGAGAAAAAGACAACCCGCATGCTAGTCCCAAGAACAGCAGCATCTGTAAGGGCTTTAGTCAAACATGGTGAATTCTTGAGGGGAAATCCAAGTGACTAGATGCAAAGATCCATCACTTGAACTGCTGCTGTCACACACACATCTTGATCCGTGTCTTGACTTCAAGAAGCTGGCTCTGGGGAGCACAGATTCAGGAGATGATCCATCAGTTGGCTCATGATTCACCCCGATGGGGTACTTGTTTTAGCCTTTTCCTCATCTTTTGATGTACCCAAGTTACCAGCTAGCTCAAAGCATGTTGCTTTCGATCACTTGGACCGCACATGGCCACAGGCCCTTGAAGAATGCAACAGCTCAAGGAAGAGGCTCTCGGACTATGAGGCCGAAAGGTAGAGACAGATTGTGAGGAAGAAGATGGTTTTGAAACAGTGAAGAATTCTCCCGGGACCAAGACAAGCATTGTACCATTTCCACTGTAGTAGCCAAGCCACCACCGCCACCACCTGACCACGATTCAATCTTTTCTACTGCGACTCTCTCTTGCCATCCATGTACACATGGTTGCTCCTACTACCCAACAACCAAGTGGGGACAAGTAGATACTTGCCAAAACTCTCTTTTGGCCAGATTTCGAGCATATCTGGTCAATTCTGTGTTTCATCACATCAGTACCCTTCCAATCACTGCCTGTAAGCTGGATTTCGATATAGGGAATGATGTTTTTGTTCCAGAGCTCATTGCAGAATGTTGGGAGTTCATTGCTCATTATCCGATGATTAGTCCCAGGTTCTGCAAGGCTTGTGAGTCCCTCCAGGTTTTGCCGGACTGCAGGGTCACATACGTAACTGCAAGCTGGTATCTGTTCCTTCTCTCTCTCTGTCTCTCTCTCCATCTATCGCACTTTTGATATATAGGCCATTCCTCCCTATCTTATCCAAGTCTGGAGCAAAATGGCTTCCATTCCTAAGCCAATGCATCATGGCCGGAGGCTATTTGAGCTGCTGGAAGAGCAGCAAGAGCCTTTTCTTCTGGATGTCTATCTTTTGGAGCATGGGTACTCGGATAGAGCGACCAGAGCCAATGATGCTGCTGCATTCATGTGCTGGCCAGGGAGTGCTTGCAGAAGGCTAAGGAGGTTTGGCACCTATGGCTTCAAGAGGAAGAGAGGTGGGATTCTTAGGCTCCTGCTGGATAAGGTTGTCTACAACAAGGTCGTCAGGAAGGCTTGGAGATGGGACGGTGCAGTCGTTGGCAGTGGAAGATGGAGCATCTTTGGAACGCTCTTCGAGATGAAAGGCAAATCCAACGTTGTGGAGTTCCACAGGCTATCATGTTCTGGTGGCACTGAAGTGGACAGGGAGGATCAGTGCAGGGCTCCGAGCTCCTCCACCCAGCTGAGCCCTGTGTCGGTGCTCGAACTGCACTCTGATGAAGGTTGTCCACTTGACAACAACGTATATTTCTTTTGTTTTCCTTGTTAATCACCTTCTTCCTTTCCTTCTTCTGCAGTCGAGGAAGAGGTATCATCGATCTCAGCTCATAATTGGGCTGCCGTGGAGGAGCTCCTCTACGGCAGGTGCCATGATCCTAAGAGAGCCAACACAAAGAAGCACTTGTATGAACCCCACCACTTTGTGTTAGACTGCCTGAGGGAGGTGGAAGGAAGGCTTTCGACTCCTCATGAATGCTCAGGTCCGGAGAAGAGAGGAAAGAACAGAGACGAGGAGGTGCTATCGTACGACAACCACGGAGCTGCTTTGGCTAACCTATCCCGATTGATCGACTCTGATTTCTCCAAGTCGGGGAGAGAGTGGAATCATCATCAGCATGAGATGACAGAGGTTGGGACTCAGATTGAGCACCTCATCTTCGAAGAGATCAGGGAAGAAACACTTGTTGGCATTCTAGATTGTCACTGTACATTGCAGAGATGTTGATTCTAATGATTATCACACTGTCAACTTTACTTCCCCACATCATTATTCTAATCACTACTATCTTTTTCTGGCAAACAGCTCGAGAAACCTCCAAATAATGCCACAGGAAAAGACAAAGTCTTAATCCAGCTGGTTGTCCTCTCTGTATTAATGATTCCTAATGTTCAATGCCACCGCAGTGATCTGTACTAGTCCAGCGCAACGAATTAAGGTTGTTTTATCTGATCCATAGCATTAGGGAATGATTTGATGTAACCTCCATCGACATAAAGGAGTGAGCAAAGTCATCAGCTCAAGATTAAGCTGCTGGTTGATGGAAGAGGCATGAGATCTTCCGGTTGAACTCGCTGGTCCTGCCATGGCCGGTAGGTGGAACAGAGTTATTTGGACGTGTCATGGTCCACCGTTCCATCAAACCATGTGCGTATTGATTGCAGGGGTGCACGACGACCTCAGCCAAGACGAGAATGCACTCACACACACAAACGGGATGGCCGTGTCGCCTCCGTTGAGCCACGGGGAGCTCAACAGGTCCATCGTCTTCACTCGACTCCCCCCCCCCCCCACCCCCACACCCTCGTTTGATAAGGTTGATCGAGCTCGCCACCTCACAACTTCTCGGCTGGCTTTTAGTCTCATCACGGGTGTTTAACCTGGAAGAACCTCCAAGGATTCAGAAACGGTCACCATTAAGCCTTTGCTAGTGCCAACAGGAAGATTGCTTCCGGGGATTGCCTTACAATGATAGCATCAGGACACTTAATTTTCGCGTCTCCTTGTGGATGCCTGTGCTCTAAATAAATAAGGAGCATCAACATCAAATGACAGAGAGTAATTTGCTCATTTCATAGTTTGGACCACCGGGAATCCAAGAAATTGGATCATCCCCAGCTCAACAAATGTGAGGCGAGGAAGAAACAAAGAAAGGAGGGAGGGGAGCTTTTGCTTATTCTGAGTTCTTTTGGTTTTGATTTCATGAAACAGTGGATGAGTAGATACATTGGCCTAAGAACAAAGCTTGAATGAGGATTTGAGTTTCTTACCTACCTATGAATCTCCCAGATTTAGCAAGAACACACACACACATACATATATTGCAATTCTCAGACATATCAGAAATGCCAGCAAAAACAAGGCAAGAACAGGTAACAAATCAGGAAAACAAACAAGATGATCCACCTGAACTCTCTCCGCCCACTGGGAATCAACCTGTAGATTCATTTGGTCAAAGAGCAACAACAAGTGCTGTGACTGGTCTTGTGCTCTGGGCTACTTGTAGTGCGGCCACACACTGAGATCCAAGGATGATTGCTTAGCATGATCTGGAGCCTTGCCAGTGTTCTTCAAAGCCTCTGCAAGCGGCCCACCGGCAGAGCCTTCCCAAATGACACTCGATTCATGTGGAGAGGAAGAGCAGGACAAGAAGTCGGAAATTATTGGCATGGGGGCAGAGAGCTCGTCGTTGTCGAACAGCATGTCTTTTCTCCCATACCAGGTGAATTGTCGAGGTTGGAGCTGTTGCTCATCCAGTTCAAAAGGTGGGAGGACATTCCTCTTGTTGTCTATCCGGGAGCTGCTCGGGGGAAGAGAGGAGGAACAAGTGGAAACGAATCCAAAATCTTCATGAAAGGAGAGTTTTGGACGTGGGAATGAGCTGAGCAAGGTTAGCTTGCAGAGTTCTTCCGAGACCTTAGAACGAGTGCTTGCCTTCTCTTCGCTTAGTATAATCCTGCAGAGCAAAATAGACCATTAGCTCGGAATTCTACTGAACTCAGAACAAGATTTCCTGGTTTTCTACCGATTGAGCTGTGGCTGCAGGTTGCTCATCTGCTGCCGAGCCATTGCCAAGCCGTCGCATGATCGACTGCCGAGACCAGCCTGCGAAGAGGAGATGAAAGGCGTCGGGCGCGTGGCTCGACCGCAGGGTCCTTCCACCGGCTTTCTTGAACGATGGCGGCCCCGATTCAGATGCCGCTCGCAGTACTTCTGGTCACCAACTGCGTTTCTCGAGCACCGCCATTTCTTGCCGTCGGTCCGACGGCATCTTCCGGGCTCTGAATCGGCGTTCCCACATGTTCCTCCATGGAATGATCCCATAAGTTCAGCTGCCACAGTAGACAAGCAAGAACAAAGGTTTCAGGTACCGACAGAAGTGAACTCCAGTAGAAGAAGAAGGGAAATGTATACAACAGCAATCTTCCATTCGCCATGCTCTCTTACTACATGCAGAGGCTCTAAGAGATCCAATTGAGAAGGCAGAGAATCCATTTGGGCTAAATGGATTGCTTGGTATTCTGGCATTTGCATCAATGTAATTGTAGATCAGGGTCTGGTTCTCGAGCTCCATCAACTGAGAGGGAGTGAAGCTGCCTTGAGAGTTGACACCCAATCTACCAAAATGCAAGCCTGCAACAGGAAAGAAAGGTTTGAGAAGGAAGACGAGACATCAAACACATTTGACGAGTTGCCTGCTGTTACACTGAATGAAAGCAACCCAAAAGCAAGTGATTATGTTCTTTATTTTACCTGCATGTCCAGTGTAAGAGGAAGTCGGCACTCTACCATCACTTGTGAGCAGCAAAGACTCCGGCTTTGATGCAGAGAAGTCGAGCGGTTGCTCTCCATCAGGCAAGAGAGAGGAAGCTTCAGTTTTTGCCATCTTGAGACAGCTCCAATCATGCCTCCCGTGGAAAGAAGAGAGCACATCACCACCGTGGAAAGAAGACGCACCGGTCACCAATCCATCATCAACGCCGATCAACCCACCCAAGTCCATTTCTCCACCCTCGACCTCGAGTCCACGGGTCCTACTACAAGAACAGGGTTTTGTCCTGTGCATGCCCAGCAGGTAGAAGCTCCGGAAGTGAAATCATGGAAGCTGAGATCTTCTAGCCTCGACAATTCAAATCCAACAAGAAAGATCGATCTTTGCCCACCATATTCGACAGCTGGATCATGAACAAGACAGGGTGTGAAGTGCCGAGGTCCCAAAGCAGTACACATAGTGCTGCCACCTCCATGGCCCATCGCATTGGATCGCTTCAGATCACGAGATGTCATGGATGAGGAAAGCGGAACACCGAGCTGGAATTCAATGTACGCGAGTGGTACCATGGCATTTAAAGGTGAGAATGTTGGCGAAGCCACACACAGCATGCGGTGTGGCCTGCTCGTACCGAGACATGCTTCCTTGGCCTCGAAGAGCATCACTGTGCTGGGCGTTGGCTCATGCACTCGGCGATGCCTCCTTTATTGCACATGACACCAACAAACCAGCTTCTTCTTCTCCAGCTCTCAAAAGATACCTCATGCATGCTTCTGCAAACAGGGGAGTGAGATGCTTCGCTCTGTTGCCTGATCCGACAGGTACGGATTAGCTGATGTCGCATTCAATTCGAACAACATGGAATCAAGCATAGCCATGAAGACAAAGATCGAGTTATCTTAAACAAGAGTTGCCAAATTCTTCTTCATCACTGGAATTATTGTGAGAGAGACATGTTGCCGAGTTGCAGACCAAGCTCCCCAGCAATTCCAAATGAGAGAGTTGCACCCTGCAACAGGAGTGCTGGATTCGATTCCCAGGCAATCAGGGCAAACAGCCATGGTGGGGGCTGTACATCACCACCTCAATTATTGGGACTCAATTCAGCCTGCAAAATGTGCTCTTTCGCTCCAGCACACACATCATTTGTTGCAGACTGATACATAACCGAGTCTTCCAATCCTCCAAGGGAAGAAGATGGGATTGCGGAGGAGTGAGAGCTCCATATGTGCATGCATGCATCCACCACCATTCATCTTCTTGCCTGCTGTCCTCCAAGCTTTGTTGATCTGAAGCAAAGCCTAATTATGTTTCTTTTGAATCCCATAATAGATTATTAAAATTATTGCAGAAAATATCTTTATGGGAAAGAGATTTAAATGATTAAAAATCTACTTTATGTATTTGATTTTTTTAAATTCATAACATCTTATTTTTTATTTAATATACATATTTGTCTCAAATTATTTGACTTGGTATATCTAATTTCTATTCGTATTTGCTTCAGATAAATATGATTGTAAATTTGGATATAGAATCAAACTGAATTATTTTCGATCAAATATACACAGGTAATCATGAGATATATTATATTTTTACCTAAATGGTGAGATTTTATATTGTTGAGTAAGAATATTTGTCTAAATATTTTATTTTTGATCATATTATTATTATTTATTTTATTTTTGATATACAGGCAAGCATTGTTGATGATAATATTAACATCTTAAAATAAGATTTTATCATAAGCACCATTAGATTAGAGATATAATTTTCTGGGATTAGGGTAACATAATCTCAAGCATAATTATCTCCAAGTAAAAGCCATCTCCGTTTCAAACTCTGATACGGGTTCGTTAACTATCCTGAAACGGACGGTCAAGATCTTTGCGTACGAACAAGGCATTTTATCCACCGTCCGTTGCTTAAGTGATCTGTTCCTTATAAGGCAACGAATCCCCCCTTCGTTTCGTATGACTTCTTCCGACCTTAATCCAAGCCAAAGCCCTGAGTAGCCAAAACCCTAGCGGCAGAAGGAGGGGGAGATGGAGCCGACTTCGCCGTCGTCGTCGTCGTCGCCGCCGGAAGTCGCTGAGCCGTCCTCTTCCTCCTCCTCGTCGTTGACGCAGCCGGAGCAGAGAACGAAGCTGTTCGTGGGCGGCATCTCGTCGGACACGCAGGAGAAGGATCTGGAGGAGCACTTCCGGGCGTTCGGCGAGCTGAAGCAGGTGATGGTGTTGAGAGACCGGGTCACCGGGATCGGGAGGGGCTTCGGCTTCGTCCTGTTCGCCCACCCGGAGGGCGCCGAGACCGCGCTCAAGAACCCCAAGCATGTCATTCTTCGGAGAACGGTTGGTGGCCCCCATCCCTCGCTTTTCTTTTCTTTTACCTTTTTACCGCGCAACACCTTTCAAAGTGGGCATAAAAAAATGATTTTTTTTACTGTAATTATTGGTTTATTCACGTTTTTTACTGTGGGATTTAGAAAGTAATCTTCCCTGGATATTCTATTCCTGAACTGCCCGCCAAGTTTCATGAGGAAGGAAGTTGGGGAAGCGTCGTTGTTCTTTCCATCTGTTTTGTCGTTGTAAAAATAGACTTTTGTGTTGCATATTCTTTTGCAAGTTTATATGGATGTACTCCTTCTGATGTCTGCCGCACCTGTTGCGCGAAAGCTTGTGGTTTCTTTGTCTTAAGTCCGAGAAAACTGCCTAATTGATCGCTCTTTTCTGTATAAGATGTTTTCTTCAGCATATATAGCAATTTGGTATGACTATTTGCTTTTTATGGAGGGGCACTTTGCGGTTTCTTTGTATGAGGCCAAGAAACTGTTTAATTGATCACTCTTTTCTATCTAAGATGTTTTCTTCATCATGTATCGTGATTTGCTATGAGTTTTTGTTCTTTACGGAGGGGGACATGTGGTTTCTTTGTATTAACTCCATGAAAATTGTTCATTGATCATTTTTTTCTGTCTAAGATGTTTTAGCGATCTAGTAGGACTATTTGTTTTTTTTCCTTTTTCGGAAGGGGGATTTGAGGTTTGTATTAATTCCAAGAAAAATGTTTAATTGATCACTCTTTTCTGTCTAAGATGTTTTATTCAGCATATGTAGCGATTTGGTATGACTTTTTTACTTTATGGAGGGAGACTTATTATAGTACCAACCTTTTCTGTTGGTGATCCTCTAAGTTTTGATAAGTCTCATCTGTTAACTGTGTTGTCTATAGGTTGAAGTGAAGCAAGCCATACCGAGAGATAAAATCCACCAAAACCAGAATCCTAATCAGACCAGGGGGTCCACCAGAAATAGCAATGGTGACATTAACAATGGCAGGAACACTAACTCAAAAAAGATTTTTATAGGAGGTTTACCGCGTAGTATCACACAACATGAGCTAAAGAGTTATTTTGAGAAGTTTGGATCTGTTGTCGATACAGTTGTTATATATGATAATGTGACACAACGGCCAAGGGGTTTTGGCTTCATCACATTTTCTTCTGAGGACTCTGTGGCGATGGTACTACAGAAAAGCTTCCACGAGTTGGATGGGAAGCCTGTACAGGTCAAGATAGGAGTTCCAAAAGATGACACTAATTGTACAAATAACAGAAATAATAATAATCATCATAGTCCAAGAGCTTTTGGCGGAAGAGGTGGAAGAAGGCCTGTTTATGTCCCCTATCAAGACCCTTTTTACCAAAGCTTTGGAGGTAATGGTTATTCTCAATATTGTGCAGCAACACCTTTTCCTCATTACCCTTATGGACAACCTTATGGAGGAGTATATAATTCTGGCATTGGATATAGGGGCCATTACGGAAATTCTGGGAGCCCTTGGAATAATTTAACTGGAATGGTTGCACCTGTTGCCTATACCTCTTATGTCAACATAGGTTATGGAAGTAACATGTTTGTGTCCACTTTGAATTATACTCAAGATCATGGATCTTACAGCGATAATGAAAACCAAGATGGTCCTAATGTACAAACAGGGACAGTTGGGACTGCAACAGAGACATGATAAATTTTGATTGGTATATCCTCTTCCTTCTTTCGCTTTAACATTTTAGTTTTGGCCTGTTTGACTTGCTCTATTTTTCCTTAAGTTGTACATGATGATTTTTTTTTTGATATCTCATCTGACAATCTTACATTCTGATTGAGTTACATGTATAATTTATATTAAAAGCATCTCTTATTTGCATAATTGTATGCTGGTAATTGGAGCTAATCTGCCAAGCTTTCATCTTCTTGTCAAAGTTAGATGTTTTCTGCTTCTGCTATAATTTTCTTTTGTGCAACCAAGATTCTAAAACTTTCATCCTTGACAAGCATGGTCTCATCCTTGAGTGCAACAACAAGTTGCCACTTGATGATAACTAATATTGTTAGGAATATGTGGCTTATGCTAATATATGTTTTGACAGGACATATCTGTCATGTAGTGGTTGGGAGTGTTGATATATCATAACGATGCTTGAATTTTAAATGTTAATCCTGTTCCAGAAAGATATCTGTGCATTCGTTCTAGTTCTGGGTCCTGCTAGCTTTTGTTTTCTGCAGAATTTTTTTCCCTTGCCTGCCTTACAGTGATTTATGAGATTGTAGTTAAAATATGTCTGTCCAGTCGACAATCTCATTTGGTTCAATGTATCTGATTGATTAATCTATTCAGTGCACCATTTCTGCATACATTCTTCAAAAACCAAGGTATCTAAACTCCGGGTAGTCCTCTAACTACTAGGCCTTTATGCATTCGATACTCTCTTTGGACCAAAATGTCCCAGCCGAGGATGGAAAATAGTACTCAGTCGAATCAAGTTTGGCTTGAAGATTCAAAAATATCAAACTCAAAGATCTTTACCTTTTATGTCAGTGCTTCCATTTCCAACTTCAACTTCTTGATGAATCTAGCTAAAACCAAGTTTATGATGTTAAGATGATGAAATGGATAACTATACTTGGCAAAATTCATAATGGAATATGCTGCCTTTTTGGCTTAAGATTATTCAGAAATATCAACCTCAAAGATCTTTATCTTTTACGTCAGTGCTTTCAGTTCCAACTTCAACTTCCTGACAAATCCAGTTAAAACCAAGTGCATGTTGTTAAGATGGTGCAATGGATAAGTAGACTTACCAAAATTCATCATGAAAGATGCTGCCTTCTGGCAAGTTGTTGGTAAAACAAGTGAGAATAAGTTTAGAGACATAACATAATGGTTCCTGGAGAAGCTGGTCAGAACAAGAGCCAAATCGAGCTTGATCAGATCTGAATAGTTTCTAGTATGGTTCAATCTGATTTCCAGCAGAGAGTAGCATTGCTGTGATGAACTTTTTGATATACGAATGTCTGCTGATCTGAGAAAGCAGGTGATATTATAAGATTGGTTAGAAATAGAATGCCAATAATTTGAGAGTATGGGAGCAGAGAATGAGAGAGAGTTGCAGTAGAGACAATATAGAATGAGGAATACGGCCTGTCATCCTCATAATTGATTTTTAACGGGTACTCCCTAGATCTATCTTCTACAAAATGCAGCACCCTTCTTCTATATAGTGATACTTGAGTGTCAGTCATTTACTTATCTACATGGAGTCTTTTGCCTACTAGCAGCTGACTCTTCTCTTTTTTGCTATCCCTTCCAATCTCTTATGAAAATTTTACCAACTGGTCATCGAAGTTGACTGATATCTGATGATTATTGATCTGCTTAATATAGTTATATCGACTTTTATCCTGCCAGAGCTTGTTATAAATTTGTCCTAAAGACAATCTAATCTAATCAAACAGTTGCTGGTTAAATTATATTGATCTATCCTCTGTTTTGATGGGCTTACTGTAGGTCTCCATAGGTTCAACCTTTGACATCTTCTTATAGCCTGTCTACCTTCGTAGAATTTGGTGAGATCAAAAGAAAAGTTCATCAAAATATACACAACCTTGTTTACAAAGAAAATCACATTGTGCATAATGTGACATTTAAAATATAGTCATACAAGGATTACATAATGTATCCTTGTATTTTATTTACCTTCCTCAAATAGTCACATATTTATTATAATTGACAAATCCAGTGAATAAGGGTGACGAATCTAGTGAATAAGGATCCCACCGATGCAAGGATTGGGGGCGGTCAAGGTATGGAACATTACCTACAAAGAGTGTTTTTGTTATTTGAATCTTGAGGGCTAATAATTACAGATTACCCTTTGTAATTAGCTACCTTTAGCATCTCGATCCCTATATATTTAAAAGTTACATTGAGATCCCTATATTCACGAAAGTGAAACATTTATCCCCATTGCTCCAATAAAACCCCTCCTTTTTAACCCTATGAAATTATTTTTAAACCCTGTATAGGAATTTTAATGTTTTACTTTCTTAAGTATAGAGATCCCAATGTAACTTTTGAAAATGTAGGAACCGGGATACTAAAGGTAGCTAATTACAATGGGTAATCTGTAATCAGTCCAAATCTTGATCACCTAGGTCTTAAAGGAGAAATCTTACCATTATATCAAAGGTTAACTTTATCATCCCACATTTATTATAATCATTGATCAAAATTATCTAACTGTGCAATCACCCATATTTTAAAGGAAGCTTTTAGGAAAACAATGAAATTATTGTGTTTTTTAGGTATTTGTTTGGTTCGGGTTCAATAGTAAGGTCACCTAATTGCTAGATTGTTGACTACGAATCGAGTCATGAAGACAAGCTCTCTATTTATAGACAAAACTGCATACATCGAGTTTCTCTAAATCTCTCATTAATGGGAGCTCCTCCACTGTTTTTTGTTTGGATTGCATTCAACCATTATACCGTATTCGCTACTCGTGTCTATCCTTGGGCTAGGCAAATGGTAGCAGTTTGCCTTTGGATTAAAGTGTCAAAAAATTTAGTAAGACCCCACTCATTCATTGCTAATCTCACCCACTTTTGCTTAATTTGAATCAAAGATAAATCTGATATTTTCTCATGTTGGATTCAAGCTCTAACACCATCTAGATACTAGAGGTTGCGAGTTAATTAAAAATTGGTTTGTTTATTTCAAATAAGGTAAACTCATGCTGCTATATAGACAGTCGGTATTGGAGGTTTTGGATCTCAAACAATGGATTGTGTAATGGTTAGTAGATTGATTCCTAAAAAATCAAACTTGAAAACCATACTGAAAGTTCCGCTTCTCTTCTTTTCCTCCCTTTTACTTTTTCCTCTCTTTCTCTGTGTTTTGTCTTCTCCCTTTCTCTCTTTCTTCCTTGTTCTCTTTCTTCGCATCTCTTTCTTTTGTCCCCAGGTAACAATTCTGAGACAGGAATTTTTTATGGACTGGCCGGGCTTTAGTCTGCTATTATTTACACCAGACTGCCCTTTGATTTTATTGAATTTTCATTCCAAGAGTTTTGAATCAGGGAACAAGACCCTTGGAATGCATACTGTATGCTACTATGTTTTAGGAGTCACATACTATTGACATTCTCTGATCCAGTGGATACTAAAACATATGAACTCCAAGTCTAATTTACCAAAATACCCCTGTACTTTCAAATAGTGTCCAATTGATATGCAATAAAGGATTTGATCTTAACAAAATAGTTCATGTATTGAGCTTTGAATAATTTACGGATGTATTTTTTATTCTTGGCTTGTTTGGTATTGTTGAGTGTATTATTATTGACTTGAACAGAAGGGTTAGTTGTTAGACTCAATAAGTTAATAGTGTTTAAGGACAAATGATATCAGAGCTGTCCTAATATTAGGCCTAGTGAGGGGAAAGGGCTATAGCTAGATGAGTCTAGCGGCACATCATAATGTAGAGGCAACACTAGATTTGGTTCTTATGTGCACCCTACTAAGGGTTTGATTTTGGGTTATGTTTCAGATATTGACAAGGATGTGAAGCTTTTAAATATGGAATATCGTAATAGCCATAGTTTAGTCTCATATCGGAAGTAGGGGAAGATTTGAATCGGTTTATAAGTGTTTGATGGGTGAATGACTATTAATTTGGGCTTAAGTATTTTGGGCCAACAATTTGGGCTCAATAAGTTTATGCATCACTTATTCCATCAAGTCTGGTCGTGATGGTATCCTTGCTAATGAATTCTATTAGAAAAAAAAAGTTTAATGCATGGAATTTTAAATGTGTTGCCAGATTAGATAATCAACATTAGCTAGTCTTAGAAGCACCACTTAGTTAGAAGAGTGGTGATAGTTTGACACTTATTATTCAGGAAACATTTATAGTTGGTGACTCGGATGTTGAAATGCTGGAATCTGCCTTACTGCTTCAGCTATGTTCCATGAGTCTGATCAGTTGGAGATTACTGGGAGTTTGGTCGAGTTAGATCTCTTTAAGTGAATAAATGTTGGAACTAGGAGTTGAATCTGTTGACACATCAAACAATGTTCAGATGTGATCAACCTTTGTGTGTGATAAAAGCCTTCAAGTGGTCTCAGACTACTGTTATCATGCCACTTTGGTGTCCATCTGACAGGGTCTCAAAACTGCTGGTCCTTATTGTGAAAACTGCTTTGGCCCATCTGTTGACTCGCTCTGGAAAGATCTGGGTTGGCCCAGATATTGCCGGAATGAAATCTTTTGACTCTCTTGTAAAGTTGCTAGGGCTGGGGAAGAGGACTCTTGATCGGTGGCAAATTGCATCGCAACACAGTAGTTGTTACTGATTAGATGGATGTAGACGACATATATCCAATCAGCTAACCGTGACAACGAGATATGAAGAACTGCACTTGGTGTATACAAGAATCTGAAATATATAGAAATGGAACGAAAAAGCTGCCATTCGTTGTTCCTCGCTACCTATGCAAACATCTTTTTTTAATTTGGATTGAGAAAAGAATCTTCAAAAGAAAAGGAGAAAATATCAGTTTATGAATGAAGAGAGATAAACAATTATGTAGGTTTTATGAGTGCTAGTGCAGTCAACATCCCTGTATGAAAAATATCTGTTTTGGCATGTAATTAGTTGAAAGAATTTCTTTTGTGGCACTCAATGAGTTACCACAACTTGAAAATCTTTGTTTACTTTAGCTGATGACTGGAATTTCTTTCTCCTTCTTTCAGTTTTTCAAGGTGTCCTACTGATTAGAATGCTTGTTAGTCGAACAAAACGTTCTGCTTCTTTACGTTCGTTCCATCTTAAATTGACATCGATACAATCTGAACATGGAAAGTTGGAAACAGGCAGCTGCTATTTTTTTTGCAGGGCATCTGATGCAACAAGTCTCACTTGCAGCTGCCGATCATCTGGAAGCCTGTATGAACAAGTCTCCATTGTATTCATAACCATTCATATGAACAACTCGTCATCTATATATTGCTTTTGGTTATACATATGTCCCCACCGAAAACCTGCTCAGACATTGCATGGTCTACCAAATCACATCTAGTCTTTGTAATTCTTAACTTGCTCAGACGTCAAGAATTTATTGGTTTGACCTAAAAAAAAAAGTGTTATTGTTGGTGGGGGGTATATGCTTAGCATTGGCTACCTTGGTGTGTGCTTCCACAGGGCAATTTATATCTGGTGCACCAATGCCTTGTTGCACCAAATTTACCTGTTGTCTTTGGATGACACAATCTTGGCATTGATGTTGAGCATGTTCATTGATGTGGCAATTATGGTGATGCATTGCAGCTGCAGAGGCATTCAATGATGCTAACCTTTCACTTGTACAGGGCCTCGTGAAGGATTCTACTAGTGCTTGCCCTCAGTTGCATAAGCTATTTGTGATGTGCATTATGAACTTGATGATATGATGCTGTGAAGCCATTTTCTTGTCCATTCTTTTTGTTTAATGGCTGACCACAGTCTCACTTCTTCTCCTTGTTGTAATGTGCACTATTTTATTATTCTTTTCAAAAATAATTAAAATTGTTAGAGTTAAAAATAATAATAATTATAATGTGCAGTGTTGTTGTGTTAAGATTCATTTATAGTATTCGTAGGTAGAGAGGTAAGTGTGTTTTGCTGCAGAATCGTAAACACAAATAATAAAGCGTGCAATAATTCGAGGGCACGTATATCAGTCATTCGTTCATTCCACGTCGATGGAGACATGAAAGCTCGTCTCTCCATTAGCTTCCACTCACATCGGAGTCGGCAATCCCGCCATAAAGTTGGTGCGTGCCTCGGTGGAGTCCAATTCGATGATGGAGAAGGAAGGAAGGCTCCTCCTCCTCCTCCTCCGCCTCCTCACATGGAAATGACCCCCCTGTCTGTCGTCCTCTTCTGCGCGTCTCGTCTCGTCTCGTCCATGCACGACCGATCTGAAAGCATCACACGTTGTCAATCGCATTACCAATCCATTTTTGTGCTTGCCAACACCGTCGTCGTCGTCTAATGAGTGCAGAATAATTGCTGCTGTAGTTGATGGGTCGAGTACCCGAGAACAACTCATGCATATGGATGCATGCATGAATGATGAACGACAGGAGCAGGAATGATGATGATGATCAAGATGAGATGGCGCATGTTTGATCTTTTGTGGCTCTCTTCTGGTTTCACTTGCAGACAAGGAAGGAAGGTAGGAAGGAGGAAGAAAAAGCAAAAGGAGAAAGCAGATTAGGTCTTTTCAGACTTTGGTGCAGAGAGTTCTGAAGAGAACCTTTTGCATTCAAAGCTTTATCTTTCTTCCCATACCTCTCTCTCTCTCTCTCTCTCTCTCTCGCTCGTGATCACATGTAGGAGAGTGGGAATAATGGAAGCATGCACACAAATGAAGTCCCGAGTGAACCCCACCCACCGGCCATCGTTCTGGCATGCAGAGGGCAGAGGTTGCTAGAATTAGGCTCTTTAGGGTTGACATTCTTGTGATTTGCTGTTGAGTTGCAGCTGCAGCCTACGCTTTACTCTCCTCGCCATTTTTGTTAGCTGAGACAAACTGCTTCCCCTGCAAGTTTGGAAATCTAGTGTTGCTTTTTTCCTCCTCCTCCTTAGATCCCATGTTCCTGTCTCTCCTACCATAAACCCACAGCACCGCAGGGGAGGGAGCAAAAGCCCAGATTGAATGATGACCAATCAAGTTTTCTCATCTTGGGCATGGAGGGGAAGAAGACGTCGGAGAAGCCAGCGCTGCTATATGTTGTCGATCAGGAGGACACATGAGTCATCTCCCTTGGGATGTTGACCTCTCATGCACAGTGACAAATGGTTTCTAGGGAAGTAAAAGCACAAGCAGACATCTGGTTCTCTGCAGGCAGGTGCAGAGAGAGATTTAATTGGGGGCTTTAGTATGGAACAGAAAGAAAGTTGGAATGTCATGTGAGCCAGCTGCAGCCTCCTCTCCTCTTCCAACGCTTCTCTCTCTCTGACCTTTTCTTGGATTAGCCTCTATGTTCTCTGTAGCTGGGCTGGTTCGATGCATGTTGAGTTGCTGTCAAGAGAGGCTTTTACTCCCCATTCCTTTTGGGGCCTTTGCACACTTTGGTACACTTGCTTGGATTCTGTTTGGATCTTGTGTCTTCATTCCCTCGTGAAAGACACAACCAGCATTAAACTCCATTATTACTGTGCAGCTGCATCGGCTGCAGAAGGCTTGAATGGAATGAAGCCTACTTTTACTTTTTTTGTTTCCTGTGATCCCCATTTCTTTCTTCTTCTTCTTCTTCTTTTTTTACCATGTCAGTCCACACACTGCAATGGTTATTTGCCTGTCCTCCCACCTTTAAACATCACTGTTGGACAATAGGGGTGAAAGGAAAAGGCTAAAGCAAAGATATCTGTCTTCCCATGTCACAACAAGCTGCTAGATCTTCCTCTGTCTTGTTTCCCTTGTTGCCTATTCATTTAACCCCTCCCTCCACACTGTGCATGAAACATTTTTCTTGTGGCTTGGCAAAATTGTTGCACACTCCGCATGAGAGATGCTGCTGCATCTGACAAGCCACTTGGCACAGAAGCAGAGCCTCCTCTCCTCCGATGAGATCTGCATCTGTGGAATGCCTCGGTATCTTCCATTTCCTCTCGCTAATCTGAATTATATCGTCTGTAGATCCTTCTACCATCCTTTTTTTGTTTCTTTTGGCCTCCTCAGATGCTGTCACTGGTTTCGTGGCATTCTCGACATGAATGCAAAGAGGGTCTCGCCACACTGAATTGTCTTATCAGACAGAGGTCCACTAGGCCTGTGGCCCTCATGCGTCCATGGATGACCGATACAAATGCCATGTTGGTACTAGGAACCCAAGCGCATGTCCATCTATCTATCCATCCATCCATCCATCCATCCAGGATTACAGGGAGAGATGGCCTGTCTCTCTCTCTCTCTCTCTCTCTCTCTCTCTCTCTCTGTGCTAGCCAGCCAGCCAGTTAGGTTATGGATTTGATGGTACTGTTGTTGCCTGAGGGTGCCGCTGTAGTGGTCAGAGAAGGCAGCACCACCTTCTCCCAGGGAGACTGTCTCGGTGAATCGGTCATCGCCTCTCTCATGAATAAAGTGCTTCTTTTGCTAACAACAAATACCAAGACCCCCTCCTCCCTCTTGGCCACTGTCTTGTTTGCTCTGATGGAATAAAACTCCAAAGAAGAAGGGGTAAAAGAGATCTTTATTTTTCTTTTTCTTTGAGACACAACAAGTTTAAAGATCTTCGAGTCCAGATTCATAGCATGGTAGATTCCACATCTCCCTGCTGTGGATGGTCACAGGATCCGAGCATTAGGAATGTTTGGTCTGACCAGAGAGAGAGAGAGAGAGAGAGAGAGAGATTTTTTTTGGTGATGGTGATTAGCCATTAGCCCAACAAGTACACAGAAAAATTATGACATAAATGACAGTAGGCAGAGCAGCATGTCATAACAACACAGTCTCGTCTCTGCCACCGAAAGGGACTACTGAAAGAAGAAGAGGCGTGAAGCATTGTATGCAGGGCAATAATTCCCAGCAAAAGTGTTCTTGTGGGATGTAGTTGCTGCTCTCGATCATCATTCAAGTAATCAAGAACCTGATAGTTGCGTGGGTGGGGAGATGTACAGCAGCCATGCACATCTGCATGCATCACGTATGCCCACCCTGTAATCACCTTCTACGACATGGAATACGTTGGTACCGTGAACAAGAGACGATGCTGCGGTATTCACGGAATTTGTGCAGCACATACTGTCGAGCCGCATTCCGGTTTTTGTCTGCAAGCAGCTGTTGACCACATTCGATACCTCAAACAATGGAATTTCCACCTGCAGACGTGTGAGATCACACATTGTAATCCTCTTCTTCCTCTGCTCTTTGCTTGCCTCGGCAAATCTTTGGTGTGGAAGGAGGATGCATGGTGAACTCGGGAAACCATACTCGCAATTAGATCACTCAGTTAGCAGCGTAGGGTGGTACAGAGCTACAACTGTTGTGAGGTGACAAGGTTGACAGATGGCCTCCCTCCCCTGTCAATCTCATGTTTTGGCCACAAACTCTTCGAGACAAGCACGAGGAAGAGAAGGAAAAGCTACCTCCCTCCATTAATTCTGTGTGTTTTCCGAAGCTTTCCTCGTGGGTAATAGACATGCCAGGCCCCAATTGTGGGTGCAATCCCGCTTGCACTTTAAGCCTCCAAAGCAGTGGGTTTCAGTAGGGTTTAACAGGCATTAAGGCAAAAGTCAGGAGGAAGGAGAAGGAAAAGCCAAAGTCATGGTCCTTCTCAGAACACAGATCCCTATAAAGAGGAGGAGGAGAGTGGAATTTACCCAGCATTTGTTTGCTGGATCTCTCTTCCTTCTCCTCGCTTCTTTTAAAGGGGACCTCAGGTCCCTTGCTGGAGAACGCATGGGAATGCTCTGCATCTTCCACCATGAGAGCTCACTCGGATTGAAGCCCCAACACAAAAACCCAAGTTCAATGGCGGGCAGCAACAATGGTGGAATGATTACACCACGTACCGTCCAATGATTGAGCTGCGTCACCTTGGGTCCTGTTGAGAAGAAGAAGAAGAAGAAGAAGAAGAAGATGAAGTCCATGAACAACAACAACAACAACGGCAGCTGGTTGGGCTTCTCCCTCTCCTCTCACATGAACATGGAGGTGCCTGCCGACCCACACCATCATCACCAATCCCAGCCTCCTCCCGGTGCCGTCTCCGCAGCCTCTGCTAGCTTCTTCCTCTCTCCTCAGCTGAGCAGCTCTGGCTTCAGCTACGGGGTGAGTGAGAATGGGGGATACTACTCTCAGCTGTCTTCCATGCCTCTCAAGTCTAATGGGTCTCTCTGCCTCATGGAAGCCCTCAGCAGATCACACGAACAAGGTGTGTCTCCACACTCCCGAGCAAGCAGGTGAATCTAAGGCACTTTCCATATTCCTTATCCTGTTTTGTTTGGTATGAAGCAATGGTGCCATCTCCATCCCCCAAACTGGAAGACTTCTTAGGCTGTGGTCCAAACATGGGGACCCATCAGTACGGGAACCATGACAGGGGAGCAATGGCTTTAAGCTTGGACAGCATATACTACCACCAGAATCCAGAGCCTGAGGGCAAC